TTGTATTTTCAGTAGAGACGGAGTTTCACTGTGTTAGCCAGGATGGTCTCCATCTCCTGACCTCGTGATCCTCCCACCTTGGCCTCCCAAAGTGCAGGATAGTGTTTTTGTGTGAAGCGGAGGCAGAAAGATGGGCTAGGAAAGGAGCACACGGGAAGATGTAGGTGTTGGAAATGTTCTAGGTCTTGGGTTCAATAGTGGGTTCATGTGTGTTCATTATGTTATGAATAAATACATAAATTCATAAGTGCCATACTTGGGCTAATGTTGACAATGTGTCACGATCAAGGACTATGATTAATTCAATTCTGATCATTCAATACCTTAAATGGAAGACAGAACTAGAGAGAGAGAAGACAGAACTAGGCAGTTAGCCTTCTTTCCTTTTTTCCTCCCTCCCTTCCTCCCCACCTGCCTGTCTTTCTTTTCTTCTCCTTTACCTTTAATTATTCCACAAACATGTACTGTCTGTTGACTGTATACACTGTGCCAGGCTGAGAACTAGGAACACTGGGATGAATCAGACACAATCCTGCCCCAAAGAGCCACCATGCAATGCGAGAGTCTGACAATTCCTCAAAGGTTTTCAAGGTGCTATGACAAATGTAAAGCAACAAGGTGTGGTAGGGCTTACAGAAGGGGCCCTTAACCCAGCCTGGGCTATTTGGGAAGACTGTGGAGCTTTCTGCTTTGACAAATTAGCAAGAAGAAAATGTGGTTGGGGGTGTAACAGGTATAAAAATGAAAAAGACAGCCTTGCCTTGAAGAGCTCATATCTTGGGGTGAGAGACAAGAAAGGAGGCCACAACAGTGGGACTTGTGAGAGAGGCAAGCACAGTCTTGAGATGCACATAGGAGGGCACCGTGCTGTGCCTGCGGTGTTAGGAAGGCTTCCTGGAGGAGATGACATGTATATAGGCAGAGAGACAAAGTATGAATTAGAGTTACCTGGAAAGTCTGTACCAGAAAGAAAGGTAAGCATGTACAATGGCCTGTGGCAGGAAGAAAGAGCATGAAGGGGGCCCCAGTGTGGCCTGGCCCAGAGTGCAAACGAGAGGAGGTGAAACTAGATGAGTAGGCAGGGAGCCAGATTCCATGAAAAAGCGTGACCATTATCCTGTGGGCCATGGGGTACCTCTGAAGGGAGTGGCAAGGGTGGTTTTTCCTTTATGAAGAGAGCCCAGCAGTAGAGTAGAGGTGAGGGGGCTGCTTTCGCTGCTGGGGAAAGAGATGGTGATGTTTGGGTTGTAGAGAGGAACAGAATTTGAGAGCTGAGCACCTGATGGGCAATGCCGCATGGCAGACTGGGCTCAAACACGATTGCTCCTGAGGGGTGGGCAGAGGACATTCAAACCTCACACAACACAGTTCTAGGTTTCCACAGACCTCCTTGGAGCAAGCTTCAAGCTCCAAAATTTCTCAGAACTGAAAGTTTTTCCTCCAACTTCTATAAAACCAAGGTAAGTACTTTTGCAAGACAGAGAAGGAGTCCAAGATTTCAATAGCTAAAAACTGGGAAGTAGACTGTATACCACGTCTTGTGGGAGAAAGGCAGGAGGAGTGAGGGTCACAGCTTTGCTTTATCCAAGGGGTTCTGGACTCCTGACTCCAGCAGCTCCCTACTGCACCTTCTGCCCCGGGCATTACTCCGCCTTAGTCCAAGAATCCCACGAATGCTACAGAGCTTGGTCTACTCCTGAGAAGTAGAAGGAAAAAGATTTATTGTGCACCTACTACACGACAAGCTACAACCCACAATTGTACTCTGGAGACATTCTTCTGTTCCTGTTTACAAATGAGAAAGCTAGGACCCAAAGGCTTGGAACTGAGATTTAAGCCCAGAGCTGTCTGACTATGCCGATGCAATACTGCACATTCTTTAGAGCAATACTGTGGCTAGTTTTTCACAGGTGTAGTTTTAGACTCACTCTTGGACAGTTAAGAACATCTTGTATTAGTTATCTACTGCTGAATAACCAATTGCTCCAACATTTAACTGATGAAAACAACAAACATTTATTATCTAACAGTTTCCATGCATCAGAAATCTGAGCACAGGTAGTTGGTTTCGGTGATTCACGATCTCCCGTGAAGTTGCAGTCAAGGCATCATACAGGGCTGTAGTTTCCTATGAAGGCTCAGCTGCGGGGGCAGAGATCTGCTCCCAAGTTCACTCGTGTGGTTATCGGCAGGTCTCAGTCACTCACCATAGGGCCTCTCTCCACAGTGCCGCTGCAGGATATGGCAGCTGGGCTCTCCAAGGGGGTGATCCCAAAAGAGAGCAAGAGTGCATGCTCAAAACAGAAGCCACAGTCTTCTTATAACCTAATATTGGAAGGAACATCCCATTACCTCTGCTGTATTCTGTTAGTGAGAAGCAAATCAGTAAGTCCAGCCCACACTTTAAGGGAAAGGGTTTACACAAGGGAGTACATACCAGGAGTCAGGGATCACTGGGGGCCATGTAGAAGCTGCTGATCGCAATCTAAAGAATTTTAGTAACCAGGCTATCCTGGCTTCTCCCCAAATAGCAAGTTGTTTCCCTTGTTATCCAGAGGCTGGAGGATTTGGGGGTCTACAGGGACACAAGAGGGCCCTGTTTTGGACCACTCTTTTGTGCCTGGGGCATCATCTCATTGGGAAAGGCCAGTGTGGTGAACCTAACTGGAGCCCCTAAGGGAGAGGGGAGTTGTTTTCTCAAATTATGGCCACTGCTCCCTCCCTCCCTTGTCCTTGAAGCTACTGTGATGCTTCCCAGCAAACTGTGGAAGCAACAGGCATCCTGCACACACACACCCAGCCTGTTAACCAGATTGGTAGAGAAACCATCAGCATGAACATCTTCTTTAAACTTTCCTTTGCTTCTGAGCTTCTTTCCACAAATTTTCTTTTCTTGCTCCCCAGCCACATCCATAACCCCCACAGTAGCTCACAGCAGAGGTGCTCCAGGAGCTTGTCAATAGGAGGTAGGAAGGAAAGACACCAAGTGTGGATGTAGATTAGCACTGTCACTTAGGGCAGTTCAAATGACATTCACTGTCCTCAGCATCTATCCTGTGCTGGTGCAGGCCATCCAGAGATGTGTGAGGTACCTATACTTGCCCTCCAGGGGGGGCTCACAGTTTTAGGAGGGGCAGACATGCAAACAATGATGAAACGTTAGAATAAGTACAATGCATACATGTCAATACATACTTTTGTCACCTCATCATGGTTATCTTAGTTCACAAAGCATCATCTTATGCTTAGACTATTACAATAGCTGCCAACCTGGTTTCCTCCATCCACCCATCCACTTGGCTGCTAAGAGGTCTTTCTGGAATGCAAATCCGACAACATCACTACCCTGGTTAAAGGCCTCCCCAAGTGATGGGGAAGGTCAAGCTCTTGATACAGTCCCCACCCAAGACCCTAGACACCATCCATCCCTACAGCTCCATCATACTCCCTCTGCTCATAGCACAGGCTCTGTGCTGTGATAGGTAGCTCTCCAGGTGACCATGTTGTACCCCTGCCTCCAGGAGCTAATTCATGTAGACACATTTACTAGGAAACATTCCCAGTTGCCTTTTCCAGTCTGACAAATTCGCCACAGAACCTCTCTCAAAACGTTTCCTTCACAGAGTTGGATTGTCTTTACTTGCTTTCCGTGTCCTTGATGAAATGGGCACTCTGCATCTACTCTTTGCCTCTTACCTGGCACAGAGAGGGATTGGGTCAGCAAATGACTGCGTAATGGACCTGAAGTCAATTCTGCGAGGCAGACGAGAGCCACCAAGACAAGAACTTTCAATTTCCCCAAGGAAGCGCAGATACCAGAAGCTCCCTGGCGGCTTCTGTTTTGGCCACGCCCTTTTCCTCAACGCTCAGTTCAGGCTCCCAAAGACGCAGCCCACCATCAGCGCTGGTAGAGCAAAGAGACCGACTTTCTGCGCCTCTAGTGGGCGGGGAACGCTCCTTGAGCAGGTGCGGTATGAAATTGGACTTTAAGAGATGAGTTGGAGCCTGATCTCAAAAATAAAGTGTGGACATGTGTGTGTCCGAGGAAGGTGGATATTAAACCACCCTCTTTTCCTCCCGGCTGCTATTTCCCACGTGCGTTGAGTAAAGGCACCCAAAGCTGCCTAGCGACTGGGTGTCTACTCCCCGTCAGGGGCACCCACCCTGGCGCTCCAGGCGCGCTTGAATGAATCCGGGAGGACCCGCGCGCATGAATGAGTGCGAGAGCTAGAGAGTGAGCGCGCGAGCGGGCGGGTGAGTGAATGGCGACCGCGCCGCCGCCTCGGAATAGGGGCGCGGG